GTATTCGAGTATGCGGGGGGGGGGGGGGGCAGGAGGAGGAGGGGCACAAGGCTGGAGCACTTGGCCCAAGGCAGCAGCTCCCCATTGGGTCCCAAATCATTGCCTCACCCCCAGCACAATGATGAGCCTCTGCTACCACCCCCAGCCCTCCTGCAGGGGAACTGGGTACCAGCTGAGGGAGCTCAGAGCACCCCCGGGAGGCAGGGGGAACCCAGAGCCATGGCCGCCTCTTCCTCTTCTGGGGATTCTGCTGAGGCTAGGGGGCAGGGCAACACAGAGTGATGTGATGACATCACTGTCTCCCAGCGTAAAATTTTTGCAAGAGAGAATCCAAGCACCTCCCATCACCCCATCCATGCTGAGCCTGCAACCGCCTCACAATTCTGCTGGTTTCTCATTTACTCAGGGCCATTGCAGAGCAGACATTAAAGATTGCAAGGCATTCACACACAGAATCAGGGCAGTCAGGTCAATAGTTCCGTGAGGCAAAGTGAGAGCATTTCCAAAACCATTTTCTTTCCTTCAGTGAAAGAGATGCCCTAAGAATGCCACATGGACCACAGCTGCATGCTGACTGGACCACAGATTGAGAACCACTGATCTGAAACATTTCACCCAGCTCCACCTGGGTTCTAATCCCACATCTGTCATGTCACTTGAGAGACTTGGTGGTAGAAGACACATCTATCTGAGTCCCTTCTCACTCTGGGTCTCTAGTCTATTCAGATTGGGTGCTGTTCTCGGCAGGGACCATCTCACATGATGCAACAGCCATCATAATGGGGCTCCAGTCTCATTGAGGGCCCCTAAGTGCTGCAAGTTCATTTTTTAATACATGCAACTTGATGCAGGCCTGGCTGCACAGAGAGGAGTCCAGGACACACAGGTTGTAGACTTTACTGGCTGAGCTCACTGCTAATGCAATGACAAGACTGGAAATGGAGACAAGGAAGTAAAGTCACTTGAGATGCAAGAGAGTCACCAAGGACTGAATGTGTGTCAGCCACTAATTGCCATGGGTTCTTATTTACTATCACTGGAGACTGAACTTTGGATCTCTCCAGCCAACTCAGCCTCTACAGTGTGAGCTAAAGGCCTGTGTTCACTAACTGGCAGCTAGAACAGACTCCTAGCCTGGGGGGGAGGAGAGGGGAGGGGAAAAAAAATAGTGGGGAACAGACCACTTACTTCCTTTTCAAAACCACATCTCTTCCCTGCGTCGTGGCCCAGCCAGGAGGGGATTGGAGCTGGAGAAGCAGCAGCAATAGCCAAATCCATTGACTCCCCCCAGGAAGGGTGTTTAGGCAAGGAGAGTCTAGCTAGCAGTCAGGGGATTAGATGTGTGTAATGGGATCTGCAAACAGCAAACAATTTCCTACAGCGCCACAGAAAATCCACTCTGTCTATAGACATTAGCTGGGGCAAGAAAGCACTCTGAGGCCAGTACCCTAGCTCCCAAGAGCTGTCGCAGCACCAGTCATTCAGCAGTGAAGGTTTTCAGACAAGCCAAGTTAGGAGTTCATGGGAGAGGAAAAGTCCAAGTCTAAATAGAAAAAAAAAAGCCCCGCACATTGATGAGGGAAGCATTTGTCCCCTATTTTCACAGACCCCTATTCTGATACTTCTACCCCAGCTCACCCCACCATGCAGGGTACCCCAGCGAGGCAGCCCCAGACAGAGCTTCTCCATGAAGCACTATGGTTCGGAGCACTGATTTGGGAGTCACATTTCAAATCCGCAAATCTGATCACTCAGCACCAGGGGTTTGGAGCTGCCCATTACAGAGGTAAAGCTCAGACCTGGATCCCAGGAGCCCCCACATTCATAGGAGGAGGCTGTGAGAGTGTTTCAACCTAAGCACAACTAACCCCACCCAGCCCTCTCTTTCCCAAAGGCTTCATGTGGGGTGTGTGTGCGCGCAAACAAACCCTCCTTTCTAGCCACTCTAAAGCTTTACTGCAGACTAGTGCTTTGGCAGAAAAAAAAAATCTCTCTCTTTCAGGTCCACCCCAAGAATGCCTCTGCCAAAGCAAACTCAGCAGATAGATTCAGGAGGGGGCGGAGTCAGAGGCCTAAAGCATAACCCGCCCTTAACCTCAAGAGAACAGCTTCACAGCTCCTCCACAAACAGGATGTGGCCTGTTTAAAAAGTTCCCTTTTCCAAAGGATGGCTATGCAGCACTTCTGCCACAGCAGCTTTTAAGTGACCAGCTAGAAGGATCTCCCAGGATACACCAACTACTTTGCTCATATGCCCCCAGGTTAGCACACCTTCAGCTCTGCCCGCCCATTACAAGGGAACTGGAAAAGAGATAGGGGAGGGGGAAGGAGAGAATAGCATTTTCCTTGGATATCAATGAAGTTGGTGACATGGGGGACAAGTGCCATTGCCTCACGAAAGTTGCTTCCCCCAAATATCAGTCTAGACACACATTTCACAGCAATATTTCTTCCTCCTTCTCAGTTCCTACCCTGCCACCTGCAGTGGTCCCTGTAAGCTGAGGGCTTGGGCAGCCACCCAGGAGAGATTCAAAGGCCACCCAGCTCATTAGCAGAGTGCCTACAGGTTTTTGGTTTTCACTAGTGGTGCACACTCACACATGCTTCAGTGCACATAACACAATTTATTCCACACATGGATGGGGAAAAAATTAGAGGGAGGGAAACACTACCCAAGATATTCACACATTCGCAGCCTTGTCTTTTTCCACCCTGCAGAGCAAAGTTACCCATATATTACACACACACCTACATCTTTATAGGATTGTTTGCTTAACCCCCCTCATACCTTGGTAGCTGTTAAATCTCAGTTGGCCACTCCTGGGCTTTAAAACAGACCCACTCTTAGAATCCCAGCTGACTGCTGCTACCTGCATAGGAGCATTTTCTTTCCGCTTCTCCTCGCTCTGACTCCCTACCTGAAGCTTCCTGCTTCCCTCTTACCTGACTCAGGGAGGAGCCTCTACTACAAGCAGTGTCAGGTCACACTGATCTGCCTCACCTTGAGCCTATCAGCGCTGTAGGAGCACCAGAGCTAGGTCCTCATTGAGCCAGGCAGCTGTAGGTCATGTCAGCTCTGCTCACCTTCCTCCTCTCATGCTCTGGCAGCCCCAGGCACTTGTCAGACCTGCCAGGTGTCACTCATTTGTAGGAAGACTTCCTCCTCCAGCTTCATTCATTTGCAGGCAAGTGTAGTGCCTCCTCCCAAGAAGGATTTTGCAGTGATACATTTGGGGCTAGAATTTCCTAAAAGCCAGCTCCCATTTAGACACCTCAGGTAGTGGGCAGGTTTTCCAAAGAGCTGGGTGCTCAGCTCTATTGACAATCCCAGCTATTGGGGTCACTACTAAAGGTGCTGGGATCTCAGCTGTTTGGAAAAATCCAACCCTGGGTGTGAGTGCTGGGTTTTCTGGAAACTCCAGCTCTTAATCTCTCCTTCAAAGGGGTTTGAAATCTTTCCTGTTCACATGCTGGCCGCTAAGGATCCTTTGCGGGGCTGGGCTAGTCTGCTCTGGCCACTAAATCCTATGAGAATCCTTCCCCCTGAGCAAAAGGACTGCAGAGATGGGAATCCAATGGGTACCTTTGCAAAGCGCTGCTGGGCTTTTGGTTTTGCAGGTGTTGTTTGGATCTAGGTTCCTTATTTCCCCCTGCAAATCTGGGTGAATGGTTCTGGTTCGCACTAGTCTCCAGGGCCAAATCAGTTTGCTTAACTTTTCTTCAGTCCTCAGTGGCAGACCATCCCTTAACTGGAACCAGTGGGCCAAGGCGTTGGAGCAGGTGGGACACTGTATCCACCTTTCACTTCTGTTCTTTGGAAACTGACCAGGGGCTCAAGCAGAGATCGTGTTATCCCTGCTGCTGGGAGCTCCCTAAAGCATAGCACCCAGACCTGACAATGAGCCTCAATGACTATGACTGCCTTGTGTTCATATGCATAGAGCTCTCCCTCAACTACCAAAGTCCTGGTCCAGCAGGCCCAGGGCTCAGGAATGGAGGAGTCCTGGGGACACTGTAGACCTAAGAAAACTTCTGAACAAAGGCCTTGTGTGTATGCATGGGTGTGTGTGCGTAATCCCAAATTCCTGAGGAAAATAGTGAAACTTGGGACACATGGTGGCATGGGAAGTCAAAACCATTTAAACTACCCACCTA